GGCCGCTGCTGTCATCCAGCTGAGAGATGACAGATACTCGTCCTGGAAATCCTCCCTCCATGGCCAGGAGAGGGTTCCGAGAGGCTCACCACCTTCCAGGTTGGAAGAGGGCAGAGCAGGACCAAGGAGGGGAAGTGACAGGGTCTCCCATCAGAACTATCCAGAAGGAGAACATGCTGCCACAGGGGCTAGTGATCTCCCCACTCTGAGATGTGCAAGCAGAGGGTGGATGGCAACTGGTTGGGATGGCTTAGAAGGAACTGAAACTCCAGATGGGGAGTCGGGGTAAATGGCCCCAATACTTCATTGATCCTTTCATTGATCCATTTAACAAATATTTACTGAGGGAGTATTATGGACCAGGCGCTGGTCTCGGCTCTGGGATTCCTCACTGCCGTACCCTGTCCTCATGGAGCTGACATTCAAGCTCCACGAGGCCGGTCTTCTCACATCTTCTCAGACTTCTGGAGACGTTTGCAGGATGTAAACAGGAGACGGTCTTCCGTGGGCATTGACTTTCCCTCATTCATGTGGATGATAATAATAACACACTTATCTAGTGTTTACTTCGTGCCAAGCACAATTCTAAGTGCTTTATGTATATTAACTCACTTACTCCCCACAACACCCGCCTCTCCAGGCCTGTTATGAGGATTTAAGAGTAAATGTACATAAAGCACTTGCAACAGTGCCTGGCAAATAGCACTATGGAAGAGTTATCACAATATTACTATCATCCTCTTTTTATAGAGGAAAAATTGAGGCTCAGAGAGGTCAACTAGCCCAAGGATGCATCGTTGGGGAGGTGCGCAGCCAGACTGTCTGTCTCCAGAGCCTCTGCTTTCAGCCACTTTTTACTGTGTGGGTGACAGATGCACCCAGCCTCTTAAGTGCTCCTTGCTGCTGCAGACACAGGTTGTAGTGGCTCTCTGAAAGGTGAAATCCTGGCAGTTTGTGCTCTGCTGTCTTCACGTACTCACACCCTGCCAGGAAGGTCCCCATAAGACACCCCCTTGACCCTGTGTTCCCTTCTAGATGCCACTTTCCCTTGAGAGGGTCACCTACAGTTGCTGTCTGTCCCTCCTCCCCTCCCACTTACCTCCAGCCCCCTGCCTTTGGGCTCCTCCTCCCCCCATGCACCCCAGGCTCGCTGCTGCACAGACTCACTTGCCTCCCTCGTTGCCAAATCCAACACTTGCTTTCCAGCGCTCTTCTTGCCTTCCCCTCAGACCTCCTTCTTGAACCACTCTTTCTCTGCCAATCCAGAATTCTCACCAGACTCTCCTTCCTCGACAGTGCCTCTTCCTTTGCCTGTCCCTCATCGGCCTGCTCTCCTTCTACCCTATGGCAAGCTCCAGGCAATGCCATCCCCTTTGGCCTCTGCTGAGGACCCTCTATCCTCTATCTGCCCTGCCTTCCCCCAAAGCTACACAACCACGTATCGCACTGCCACTCGACCTCTCCCTCTGAATGTTCCACAGCTCCCTTAACCTTGAAGGAATTGAAACAGACCTCATCATTTCCAAGACTGTAGCCCACAGGCTTCCTCCTTCAACCTGACCCTCATGCTCCCCATCCCCAGGAAAGGCACCACCATCCAGACACTTTGCAAGCTGAAAACAGTCATTTTCAGCTCCTCCCCACACCCCACTGCCCTATGATATCTGTTACAGAGGCCTGGCTGGTTGACCTTGTAAGATCAATCCCCATGGCCAGTGCCTGGTCCAAAGCCCCAGTGCACGGTTGCATATTCTAGCTGTAAGTCCTCTGGTTCTTCTGTGTGAGCCCCTGCCACAGCATGGCTACTGACAGACGGGTGGTGTGGTTCTACCACCGGGAAGCGAACCTGGAAGTGAGAGTGCCAAACTCTAACCACTAGGCCATCAGGGCTGGCTCTCAGAGCATCCCCTTTTATATATCCTCTTGCATTAGCTTCCTGTATCCCTTACAGCTGCTTCTCAAACTTAAATGTGCATTTGAATAACCTGGGGGGGGGGGACTTTAAAAACTCTTCATGACCAGGTCCAACATAGACCAATTAAATCAGAACTCCTGGATGTGGGGTTCAGACATCAGCATTTTTTAAGGTGATTGCAACATACAGCCAAGGCTAAGAACCACTGTAATAAAGACTTTGAGCTGCAAATAACATGTCTGGGGCTCGAGTTAGGTCAATCAGTGGCTCTGAAACTTTAGCATGCATCAGAGTCACTTAGCGGGCTTGTTACAATACAGATTGTCAGGCCCCCACCTCCAGAGTTTCTGAGTCAGCAGGTCTGGGATGGATTCCATGCATTTGCAATGGTGCTTGTCCAGGGCTCACACTTTGAGAACCAATGCTTAAACAATGAGGAAATTTATGGTTTCACCTAACACAGATGCAAGGGGTAGGGAGGGCTCCAGTTAGTGCAAGGTGGATCTTCAACTGCAAATTGAAGTTGTGCTTCCATTCATTCTTTGGCTCCTGCTTTCTGGTGAGGCCAAGTTTCCCAGCAGATGTTCAAGGTGCTTTGGGGCTGGGCCCCGCTACCCCTCCAGCCTCATTTCTCTCCACAGCCTCCTTCCCTTCACATTCCAAGGAGTCCTGAATCTCCAGTGGTTCTTGGGATGTTTCATTCGGCTTTGCCCTCGCAAGGCATGATCAGCCCAGGAGGGAGGCGGCATAGGTTTTTCTGTCTCCCAGCACATGCCCCCTCCCACTGCATCCTTTCCTATGGCACCATCTGCAACACTCACCCAGACCAGCTGGCACGGTCACTCCCTTCTGCACAGGAATCACTTACTTCTACCTCCACACCTTTGTTCATGACTCACTTCCCACCCAGAATTCCCTCCTACCCTCTGCTTCACCTGTCTAAATACTCACCCTAAAGGGACAGCCAAGTCTCACTGTCCCTCAGGATCCACCAGCACATCTCTTTCCCTGATCTGCCCAGCTTTCCCAAATCCTGCTTTGTGTCATTAGCTGTCCTTCCGAGTATTGGCCTTGGCCTCCAACTGGGCTGTATGACACTTGAGGGTGAGGGCAAGGCCTTTCCACAGCCCAGTGGCAAGGTGGGAGGAGCATGGATCTTGGAATGTAGCAGACTCCAGTTGGACTCTGGGTTCTCTGGCTGGCTTCCTCGTTGACCTTGGGTAAGTTACTTGACCTGAGCCTAGTTTTTTTTCACCTGTTTACGTTAGTTCATAGCATCACTTGTCTTAAGGCCGCTCTAAAGATCAACTGAACTCATCGATGTGAAAGAATCTTGTAGTCTCCACTGAGCTGTACAGAGCTGAGCCCTACTCTTGCTTCTCCTTGTCCCCACATCAATAGATTGGAGTCACAGACCTGCATGTGTCCCTAGGTTCACTCTTCACCCGCACAACCTCTGGAAAGTCACTTAATGAGCACCTCCTAGAGCATCAGTCTCCTAATCTGTGGGATGGGAATGTGAGAAAATGCAATGGAATGCAAAGCTCAATAAATGTCACATGCAAAATGCTTGGTGAATGAAATTCTTCTTAAAAGTACAGCTTCGTCTCTAGGTGGTGGAGAAACTGGTCCATCATTGGGCCTACAGTTCTGAATAGCAAATTAAGGAGGAAAAACGCCAGGATGCTCTGGATACCTCCTCCCAGCCCTCCCCACCTCACTGCCCACAGCTGAGTCAATGCCAATCTCCCCTTCCCTCCAAGGACAAAAGGGAAGGAAATGAGGCCACTTTACTTGCTCTCTGACTGGATCTGTTTCCTCAGCCGGGGTTGCTGGCGTGTCTGTCTGTCATCTAGTCTCTGCAGCAGCCTCTCTCCTCAGAGAGTCCTGCACCATCTGGAGAGGCGCCCTCGTGGACATGGAAATGTTCAAATCTGGAATCCCTGGCCCTGGTACTTCCACTCGCTCTGGGGTGCGGGGCTGGGAAGCCCACGGAGCATGCCTATTCTGGGAACATTCCCTCTCCAGTTAAGCAGGTCTAATCCAAATTCTATCAAATTAGTCTTTCAGAATAGCTCCTTTATGGTGAAATCCGAATAAGCTCTGTAGATGGTATCAACGCCAATTTCCTGATTTGGATATTGTGTCACAGTTATGTAAGATGTTAGCATTGGGGGAAACTGGGCGAAGGGTACATGGAACCTTCCTGTTCATTTTTTTCAACTCCCTGTGAATCTATAATTAGTTCAAAGTAAAAAATGTCCTGTTAAAAATCTCATTTTCAACTTCCTTTCCACTCCCCAGCCACCCATTATCACTTCCCTCTTGGATACTTGCGACCACCCCCTGGTTTTCCTCCTGTCTTTAGTCTTGGCTCACGCTGGCCCTCCCAGAGAATCTCTGAGACCGGATCTTGCCCTGTCTTGCCCTGTAATAACCGGCGGGGGCTCCTCTCTGGTTGCGGGAGTGAGCCGGCACTCAAGGCCCTCCAGACACTTCCAATCTTATCTGCGGCTGTTTATTTTGCTGTGCCCCGGTTCCCCACCGTGTCTCTCCATTTCAGGTCTTTGCGGAGAGAGTCCCGCGCTCGAGCCCAGGACTACCCTTTCCCTCTCCATTAACTGTAAAAGCCCCGGAGTTTCCCGTTAAAGAGAGTAATAACGCCGCCTTGCCTCCCTGAAAGGATCCAGTCTGTGACGGCTGCAACAACGCCTTTAATAAACGATTATCAGTAACTTGTTCAAGGGAAAGCCTGAGCGGGGCCTGCACATCTTCGCCCCAGCCCTCGGCGACAACAAGGCCTCAGCAGCCAGGCCCCTCTAACGAGCAGGCCCCGCCCCCGAGACGCTCCAACGGCCAGGCCCCGCCCCCGAGGCGCTCCTAAGGCCAGGCCCCGCCCCCGAGACCCTCCTAAGGTCAGGCCCCGCCCCCGAGACGCTCCAACGGCCAGGCCCCGCCCCCGAGGCGCTCCTAAGGCCGGGCCCCGCCCCCGAGACCCTCCTAAGGTCAGGCCCCGCCCCCGAGACGCTTCAACGGCCAGGCCCCGCCCCCGAGACGCTCCAACGGCCAGGCCTCGCCCCGCGTGCGTGCGCGGCCCCGCGGAGGCGTGCAGGCGCCCGCGTAGGCAGAGGCTGAGGTGGCAGAGGCCCCGCCAACATGGAGCTGCCGCAGATCCCGGAGCTGATGGGGCTGTCGCTCTTGCTCGGGCTGCTGGCCCTGATGGCGACGGCCGCGGTAGCGCGGGGATGGCTGCGCGCGGAGGAGGAGACATGCGGCGGGTCGGCGGGTCAGTGGGGCGGGGGCGGGGAGGGGCCGCCGCGGGGACCGCGCTCCCGCCTCCGGGGTGGTCCGACCTGCGAGGGTGCCGGGGACCGCTCAGTTTCTCCTCGGGTGAAAGGAGCTTCGCTTCCCGGGACGACGTGCCGCCTCGCGGGCTGGTCGCGCGCCGTCCGGAGGCCCAGTGGGAAGCGGCGTCCCGCGCTGCCGCTGTCGGTGGCCGAGCCCCGGCCTCTGCCCGGGCCCTGCGAGGGCCCTGCGAACTCGCAAGCGCACTGCTAGGTCGTTACTTCATGAAAAAGGGGGGCGTTCATTCATGGGCGCTCGGACTAGCTCCCCGACATGCGGCCACCTCCGTGGGCTTTGAGGTCTTTTTCCTTTAGGGAGTCCACTGTCGGGGAAGGAGAGGAGCATCTGAAAGTGTAAGGGAAAGGTAGAGCGTAAGAGGGTTCATAGAAGAGGTCAGTACCTGAAACGGGAAACCCAACGGTGGCAGGTCAGGAAATCTTCACTAAGAGTCGGGAACATGTGAGATGGGGTCCTGAGGAAGGATGTGTGGGAGTTTCCCCGGAGGCCGAGGAGGGAAGAACGCTGCTGGCAGGGAAGGCAGGGAGCCCTGAGACAGCACGTGGTGTGACTCCAGGGTGAGAGCAGAGGAGGGAGCTCAGCAGAGAGGGCTGGACAGGTAGGCAGAGGGCAGGTTGTGGCCATCTTTATGTGGGGGGCGCAGGAGTTGTTTTCCTGTAGGAATTGGGGAGCATCTGCAGCCATCTAACACATGCCGACTTTGTGCCTGGCCTGATTCTCACTTAAGTGAGCTATCTTATGCAAAAGTGACAGGCACTATTCCTGGCACAGGCTAGGTGCTCAACATGTTGACTACCTCTTGGTCCTGAATTATCTGGGATTCCTTTGAGCCTTGAATACTTGTGCTGGTACTCTGCTTGTCATTTTTGTGTATATTATCTCATTCAATTCTCCCAACTTCTCTTTAAGGAAACCAAGACCCAGAGCAATTAAGTAACTTACGCATGGCCAGGGCCACCAGATTGGGTTGTGCACATTATTCCCTACGTAGGGATGACTGGCCAAGGATCTCTACTCCCCTGGCCATGCCATGTACCCACTGAGCTGCCCCAGCCCAGACATGCTGCCTTTTCTAGTGTGCATCAAGGTTCTATATGGACTAACAGCATGCAGCTTCCTTAGGATCACTCAGTGGTAGAGACACAATCCAAGCCCAGGTCTGATTCCAAAGCCTCTGTTTTTGCCCACATCACTGTCTTCTCGAGGATGGGCCACATCTTGTCATTTCTTGCTGCTCCACTCAATGCCTGGCCAATCAAAGGTGATCAGTAAATGCTTGTTGATTGAGTGAATGGATGGTTGACATGGCCTTTCTTTATAGGCCAAAAAGCAAATGGACTTCCCCTTGACAAGTCCTCGAGATCCAAGAAGCAGAAACAGCATCAGCGAATTCGCAAGGAGAAACCTCAACAACACAACTTCACCCATCGCCTCTTGGCTGCGGCACTGAAGGTACATGGGTACCCATGCACAAACACTCACACCCCTGCAGACTTTTCCTTTGTAGCATTCTGTGCATGTTACAGACCCCTCTGCTTCTGACCAAAATCAGTGGGGATGCCTCATACTGTCTCTTCTCATCACATCCCATCAGCAGCTTGCTGTTAATCCAGGCAGCAGGGTCCCAGAGTCATGGCTGCAGGTTGGGCTTCCCCATCTAGCCAAGGGGTCCCTGTTCACACTTCCTGCAACCCCTCCCCTAGAGCCACAGTGGGAACATATCTTGCATGGACTTTAGCAGCAATGGCAAGTACCTGGCCACCTGTGCAGATGACCGCACTGTCCGCATCTGGAGCACCAAGGACTTCCTGCAGCGGGAGCACCGTAGCATGAGAGCCAATGTGGAGCTGGACCATGCCACTTTGGTGCGCTTCAGCCCTGACTGCAGGTGGGACAGGATGGAGCCTCAGGTTTGCCTGCAGAAGCCCAGCTCCAGGCTTATGTCTTTCCCATTCCTGGTTTGGGATAGTGAGTGGGGGTACCCAGAGTCTCCCTTGGAGTGGCAGAAAGAGAGCATCCAGATGGCCTAAGCACTGCCCGGGGCTTCCTGAAGGGCTAAGCAGCTACACAGCAAGGAAGCAGAGAAGGAAAGATCTGTTCCCACCTGGGAAGTACCAAAGTCTGGGTCCCAGATTAGTCTTGGGAGCCATAATGGTTTTCTAAACCCTAGAGAGAAACCAAAGGAGCCAAAGCTATGAGAACTATCTTCTGATAGTTCTAAGAGATTTTGAACCCAGGGGTTAAGTTCTGAGGTTGGACTGTAAGGCGTGAAGGGAGGTTTGGTTTTCCTCAGAGCCTTGCATAGGCCCTGGCACACACAGGCCTCCGTGTCCAAATGAGTGACTTGTCCGCTCCCTGTCCCTAGAGCCTTCATTGTCTGGCTGGCCAATGGAGACACCCTCCGTGTCTTCAAGATGACCAAGCGAGAGGATGGGGGCTATACCTTCACGGCCACCCCAGAGGACTTTCCTAAAAAGCACAAGGCACCCATCATCAACATCGCCATTGCTGACACAGGTGAGAGGCATTGAGAGGGTGCAGCTCGCCCAAGGCAAGAGAGAACTGCCTCAGTTATATTTGCTGAATGAGTTCATGCTGCCTGAGAGTTATGCCTAGCCTCAGTATGGCAAAGGGGGTCTGCCTCTGGGCTCCCCTGGAGTCCTAGGAGCCACAGCAAGTCCCCAGGGGAAGCAGGTAAGAGCCACAGTCTTCAGCAAAGTCCTCATCTGTGGTGACCCTTGGCCTTGGAGGGGAGCATGCATACTTTGGACAGCAGAGGCCTTCATAAGCGTCTCCTTGGAGAATGACAGTTGGTCAGGTCATTGACCTCAGCTCCTGTCACTCCCCTCCCCACTCAGGGAAGTTCATCATGACTGCTTCCAGTGACACGACTATCCTCATCTGGAATCTGAAAGGTCAAGTGTTGTCTACCATCAACACCAACCAGATGAACAATATACATGCTGCTATATCCCCTTGTAGCAGGTGAGGAAGGAGAGATTTGGCATCTGGGACGGGCGAAGGTTGGGGCTGGGGGCCAGAGGCAGAGCGGAGAGCTAGCTTCATGTAGTGGAAAGAGCATATAATGTGCAATCGGGACACCTGGGTTCAAGTCCTTAGTCTCTATTTCTTCATCTGTTGTTTTTAAAAGGTTGGGCTGGGGGCTTGGGGGTACTGCGTATCTTATAGCATGGCTGTGAGGATGAACTGAGGTTGTGTATAAAAGCACTTTTAAAAGATACAGTGTCATTTAGATATAAGATTATTAACTTTCTCAGGAAAGAGGTTTAGTGGGTTTGCAGGAACAAGCTGCCTTTAAAATTAAGTTTCAAAGGAACCTGGGTTGTATGGCAGGTTTGTGGCCTCATGTGGCTTCACTCCGGATGTAAAAGTTTGGGAAGTCTGCTTTGGCAAAAAAGGGGACTTCCAAGAGGTTGTGCGAGCGTTTGAACTGAAAGGCCACTCAGCAGCTGTCCTCTTCTTCGCTTTCTCCAATGATTCCCGGAGGTGAGTGAATCCTCTCTGACTTCTTACCTGATTCCTGGCCCTCAGCCCCTCTTGGCACCCTGGGTCCTTCTGCCTGTCTCTTTGGCAGCTCTGAAGTGGGTGGGGTGGCCAGCCCTCAGCAGGAAGTAGACACAGCAGTGGAGCTGGCTTCCTAGCTGGAGCCCCTAGTGCTGTCCCAGCACCCTCCCTTCCAGGGTGTATTGGGCCTAGAGCCATGATTTTCCACGCTGCAGGATGGCCTCTGTCTCCAAGGATGGCACATGGAAACTGTGGGACACAGACGTGGAATACAAGAAGCAGCAGGACCCCTACTTGCTGAGGACAGGCCGCTTTGAAGAGGCAAGCACCATGCCATGCCGCCTGGCACTGTCCCCTGACGCCCAGGTCTTGGCCTTGGCCAGTGGCAGCAGTATTCATCTCTACAACACCCGGCGGGGTGAGGAGGAGGAGCACTTTGAGCAGGTCCATGGGGAGTGCGTCGCTGGCCTGTCCTTTGACGTCACTGGCCGGCTCCTGGCCTCCTGTGGGGACCGGGCAGTGCGGCTCTTCCACAACACCCCCGGCCACCGGGCGGTGGTGGAGGAAATGCAGGGCCTCCTGAAGCGGGCGTCCAACGAGAGCACCCGCCAGAGGCTGCAGCAGCAGCTGAGCCAGGCCCAAGAGGCCCTGAAGAGCCTGGGTGTCTTGAAGAAATGACTCTGGGAGGGTGTGGCAGGAAGGATCTTGCCTGCTGCCACTTTTCTTCCCAGGTGCTCCCCAACTGGAAACCTTTTGAAAAGAGTATCCTGATTTTCTTAATGGTGGCCCCTCTCTCCTTTTTCCCGTTGAAACTGTTCTTGCCTACTTAGATCTCTCTTCTTGCTGGTTGTGACTCCTGGCCTTGCTAGACCTCCCAGGCTAATGACCAAGGTGCTTCTTTTTGTCCCGGGCCCAAGAGGTGGAATCTGTCTTCACCAGGCGCTGAGGAGAGTGGTACGTAGAAGAGAGAGAGAATGTGGTCTCTGACCTTGTGGCAACACACACCCTGGTACCCAAAGAAGTTTGTAGTAGTGGAGGCAAACCATAAGGAACACTTGAGTACTGACCAGCGCTTCTGCAGGGATGGGAACTGGGCTATCTTCCAATTACAGGACTGCGGGATAGTGTCAGGGAAAGGCTAGACTTAAGCCAGGCAAAGCTCCTAACTCCATCACAAAGTAATTAAGGGATTTCATTCAGTGCCTCAGTTTTCTTATTTGTAAAATGGAGAATAATCCTCTCTTGACCTCCTTACAAAGATGTTATCAGGGTAAGAGAGTATACAGTCCCTAGATCTGGAAGACAAGTGGAAAAGAGTAGTAATACATGTTATCTGTTGTCCACTATCATTTATTAACTACTGGGTGAAAATGGGTCTCACACAGTGTAGTTTGAAACTAAATTAGAAACACATGCCTTGAGAAGGTGAAGTTTCTGGAACTTGATCATGCATTTCGTATCTGGTTCTGCTTTAAGTTGTGTGGAGCAATCATAGAACCTGAAGATGGGGCTGCTCTCTTCCAAGAGTTATATCCTGTCTTCAGCTCCTCAAACATTTGAGTGCCTGTTCTGTGCCCATGACTGCACTAGGCACCGGAGAGTGATATGAAGAAGACGTGATCTCTACCATCAGAGGTGGCTGGTGGGAGAGAGGGACACGTGTCTGTTAAGTGATTTCTCTTCACTTACTCATAGCTGTAGAAGGCTGTCGCCAAAGTCAGGGCAAGGGAGGGGTCTAAATCAGGACAGAGGCAATGGGTTTGAAGTTGAAGGGACAGGTTTGATAAGAGATTAGGTATTTAGAAGTCTGAACTTCTGGATATGAGGACTGCTTGGATGTGGGAGGTGAAGGAAATGAGGGATCTAGGAAGACTTGATTGAGTCTAGGCAAAATTTAGTCATCCAAAATCAAATTCTTATTCCCTCTCCCTAAAACTGGGACTTCTCCTAGTTGCCTCCAACTCATAAATTGTGGTTTGAACAAGCCACAACCTTGGAGTTCTCCTTAATTACTCCCTTTTCATTACTCCCTCCGCCCCACTGCCACTACTACTGTCCACCCCATCAGAAAATTCTTCTGGTTATAGTCCAGATTATATCCTGAATCTGCTACTTCTCTCCATCTCTCTGTTACCAGCCTGGTCCTAGCCACTAGCACCTACTGGGTTGCTATAACATAGCTTCTTGGGCTCTCTGCTTCCTCTCGTGCCTCATTAAATCACTTTTCTACATAGCAGAGTGACCATTTGAAAATATAAATCAGATTATAGTGGTCCCACACCCTTCAAAGGCTTCTCATCACACTTAGAATAAAATCCAAAATTCTCACCATGGCCTTCAAGGGCTGTGTAATCTGGCTTCTTCCTTACTCTGTAATCTTGTTACTGCTCTCCCAGCCACCCCAACCTTGCTGTTCCTCAACCAAGCCAAGTTATTTCCAGCCTCAAGGGGGACTTGTGCCCATGCTGTTCCCTCTGCCTGGAAGCATTTTGCTTTTAGTTTGGCAGACTTGTCGTGCATGTCATAATTCAGTTCTCAGTTTCAGTTAGACTTCAGAGAGGCCCTCCCTGACTACCCAGTCTGAAGTAGCCCTTTCCACCAATCATATCACATCCATCACGTTAGCTTGCTTTATTTATTTTGTACTACTTAATGCTAGCTGAAATGATCTTGTTTGGATATTTGTTTGCTTCAGGGGTTTCAGCTTAAATGCTGTGGATATCAAGTGGGTAATGTAAATGCATGAATTGGGCCACAGTTGTCCGATATAAGACAGTAGGAAATGGGACTGAAGTGATCTCTGGGGGGGCGTGTGTCCTGGGTAAGGGGCAGGAGTGGCCGCTACTTACTATTAAGGAATCCTGCACAAGTTGCCAGTTGAGAGAAGCTAGGAGTTGGCAATTATAAAAGGAAAAAATTAAGCACCGTGTTGACCAAACAACACTAATGTGGGCCAGATGCAGCCCACCAGTCTCTCCTTGGCGGCTTCTGGATTGTTCATTAACCCACTGGAATGTGAGCTCCATAAGAATAGAATGCTTGTCTGTCTGACTTGCTCCGTATCCCAAGCACAGTACCTGGGACAGAGTAAGCACTCAGTAAGTGTTGAACTCAAACCAGGGGCAGCCGACAGACGTTTCAGTGCCCTCTGTGTATCCTCCCACTCCCGGTTTGCACTGTGGTTTTATGTTCCTGGTAAGAGGCTTCTGATTGGTAATGCTATGTGTATGGCTCCTGGTGAATATTTGCTTTCTGGTTGTCAGATTATGAGACTCAAACACTTCTTTGCCTATCTGCTTGGCTCTGGCTTTACTCTCGCTGTAGATCCAGGAGAGCAAGTGCCCAGAGAAGGTTGAGTTACTGGAGTCAGAAGTCTTCAGTTTCAGTTTCAGCTGGGTCATTACTCGCTTGAGACCTTGAGCAGATCACTTGACCTCTCTGAGTTTGCTTCCTCAACTGTAAAATGGGAATAAATCCTGCCCTGTGTACCTTGCGGGGCTGTGAGTTTCTAATGAGCTCAGTGAAAGCACTACAGAGAAGTCATTATGGAGACTTCCTGAGGACAGAGCTCCTCTCACTAAAGACGAGGCTGCTGCTCTTGTAAGCAAGGAGAAGGCACCTGGGTATTAACATAGAGCTGAGGCTGCCGTATATTTTGATCAGAAATCCTTGTGAGTGAAGGCAGCATTAATATTTTAATATTACTGTTTCAACGTCTGTGGATTTGAAATTTTTCAAAATAAAAGTTGAGAAATATTAAAAATGGCGGTATATAGCCTATTTTTACCAGTCATCAAAAATAGAAAAAATAGGGTCCCGCCTGGTGGCACAGTGGTTAAGTTTGCATGTTCTGCTTCGGCAGCCCACGGTTAACTGGTTCGAATCCCAGGTATGGACGTATACAGCACTTGTCAAGCCATGCTGTGGTAGGAGTCCCACATATAAAGTAGAGGAAGGTGGGCATGGATGTTAGCTCAGGGCCAGTCTTCCTCAGCAAAAAGAGGAGGATTGGCAGTGGATGTTAGCTCAGGGCTAATCTTCCTCAAAAAAAAAAAAAAAGGAAAGAAAAGAAAAAATAGGGGCTGGCCTGGTGGCATAGTGGTTGTTTGGCAGGCTCCACTTCAGTGGCCCGGGATTGGCAGGTTCATATCCCAGACATGGACCTACATACTGCTCATCAAGCCATGCTTTGGCAGCGTCCCACATACAAAAAATAGAGGAAGATTGGCACAGATGTTAGCTCAGGGACAATCTTCCTCAAGCAAAAAGAGGAACATTGGCAACAGATGTTAGCTGAGGGCCAATCTTCCTTACTAAAAAAAGAAAGAAAATATAAGCCATGAAAGTACATTTAGAGACCTATTGATAGTCAGTTTCCATCAAGGTAATAAGAATATCGTATGTAAAAGATTGTTCTATAATGGGAAATTATAGGAGGTAAGTAGGAAGGAAGCACATAGTACTGTGATGAGTTATCAGTGATGGTAGGTTATTTCATATAGCATTAGATAGACCCAACATTGCCCCCAATTAGCCACATGTCTAGAAACTTAACAATTTGGAGATTCATATACTCCTCCACAAAATTCCAGAAATATAGGCCTTCCAGTGAGCATGGCTTGGTTTCAGCACACAGCTCTTAAGACTGAGTCCCACTGATGGGCACTAGTTGGCAGTGCAGAGCCAGCCACAGCTGCTGAAAGCATGATTCATACAAACCTCTGAATGTCTTCTGAGATTGTGACTGCATTTCCAAATCTTCATTTCTTCAAGCTTCCAGCTCTGATTCAGAATTCAGGGCACTTGGAAAATAAGTGCAGTTTCCACTTGCTTTCTATTCAGTATCCATCCTCCAGTTTGAGTCCATTTGGATTTTCTTGATCACATTAATAGCAGCCAACATTGAGTGCTGAGTGTTTATTTAATCCCTACCAATTCACTGGTGTCTCTGCCTCAGCCATTCTCCCAGTAACCACATCTTTGTTTTTATTTGGTGAACTACACTTCCCCAACTCTTAATCCATGTGATGTAAAGAGGATAGACCCAGACCCTCCTGGACATTCAATCAGCAGATCCCTGGACTTTCCTAGGACTTTAGGAAAGTGAAAATCTCTTTAATTTTCTGCTGGGATTGCTTAGTAAGTAGGATGTAAGCTTGTTACTATGTGCGGTCTTGCCTGAAAATGAAGCCAACATGGGAAAGCAGGGCCAGAGATGTAAAGAGACTACTTGCTAAGGATGCTGTTTACACTGCTGGATCCAGACACTCCTGAGGTTTCCACCATTGGACTTGTCAGTTATAAGAGCCAATGAATTCCTGTTTCTGATTAAGTCCATTTGCATTGGGATATTCCTGCAACCGAAAGAACCTTAACATCAGTATTATTAGAGAGTCCAAGTAAATGGCCCAAGGCACATAACCAATAACCGGCATGCCCAGATATTTAGGTTTATGCCTATCTGGTGCTAAAGCACATGCCTTTAACCACTAGGCCCATCTCTGACATTTGTAAAGCCAGAGGCAAGACTACAGATGGAGGCCCACATGCCATGTCTTGATATTTAAAAGTTATAAATCAAGCTGAGCTCAAATGTGTTCTACCCTCCTATCTTGACAGAACATCCAGGAAGGCCAAGTTCGAATTTAGAATTCTCAGACTCAGGTCTGTGCCACAATACGGTGTCAAAGCAGGCCATCCCATGGCTCCACTTCTCTTCCCTCCTCATTCTTTCCCACATTGCGAGGGACACTCCAGCCCACACCTCCAAGTGCCATCACATCCTTGCAAACCACCACCCTTTGGCTGCCCACCACTCGGGCCTTAGGGTGTGCACCATGGTGGCATCACCTCTGTGAGAATGGACCTAGGGAGAGGCTCATAGAGGCTCTGGAAGCAGGTTTGAATCTGGACAGGGATTCCAGGGTCGTGGGTACCTGGACTGTGGTCTGGTGGGTGAGGTGGGGACACAAGCTCTGGGTGTCACATTTCCTTGGTCCTGCAAACTCTGTGCCTCATGGAAAGAGGCATGGCAGGAGAAGGGCCAGGACAGCTCTCTCCAGAAGTCCTCTTCCCACGTGGAGCCCTGTCAACCTCTCTGTTAACCACACTTCATCTTTTCCCTGCAGTTTCAAGTGCAGTATACTGAGCTCTTCTTAACACATCCAAAATTAAACACAGTATTTTATTGTGAGTTCCTGGGGGTTTGGCCAGGTTGTCTCAGAGCTCTTCTGAAAGTTCTGGATATGTGGGAGCAGCCTTGTATATTTCCTTAACCAGTATCTGGGTCCTGATTCTTGGCTCTCCATTCTCGCCTTCAAGTTCTTCCGAGTATGCCAGAGACCAGCTGCAGCCAGGGTACCATGCAGAAACCGTTCACACTGTGGTCATTCCTGCATCGCATCCCGGGATCCATCTGACACGTTAGGAAGGAAGCCATGGGAGCTGAGCTCGCCAGCTTTCTCTCTGACACGCTGATAGAGCTTTTCCTCCTGCCTTCCTCGTAGATGTCCTCTCTGCAGCAAGTGAGCTCAGCCTTTTCATGCTTAAATGTCTCAGACTGCTTACTGGCTGGTAGTGTATGCCAGCTAATCGAGTGGGAGGTTTTTTGTTTGTTTTTGTAAAAATCTCAAACTTCTTATGGAAGACCCTATTTTATACTCTAATCTTCTGCTTTACTTTCTTTTCTTCTTTAATGGCACCTTTCTCCCACAGCTCAAACAGAGTTGATAATAGTGGCTAACACGGAGCACTCATTATCATGCAGACACTGTTCCCAGTGCTGTCCTGATAATAACTCGTTTCATCCAGCATTTCCATGAGATAGTTATGTTATAATTTCCATATCACAGATCAGGAACCAACAGCATTGCCCAGGTCACTTCTTAAGAGGCGTGTGGCTGAGCTGAGATTCAAACCCATAGAGTCTGGGTCTATGTTCTTAACGGTCCTTAAGCTGTGGCAGGTGCCACAATCACCTGGGACCTGGGTATTGCTACAAGGGTACAGGTCCTGTCCTGCCTCAACAGGCCCAGGCCTCTGTGGCCTTTATTAGCTCTCAGGTGATTCTGATGCCCAAGTCTGGGAACCACTGCACTGAGCTGTTCAGCCTTGATTTTGAATATTATCCACACGCCACTGCCCTGTCTGAGGCTGTGTTCCTATTCCTACGGGTGAGTGTTTTCTTGCTTGTGCCCAGGAGAGGAGAAACTGCAGGTGAGCCATCCAAGGAGCCTCTAGCGGGCTGTTCCACTCCCTGCTCAGCACCGAGAAATCCCCCGACGCTTGTCCCTGGTCACACGGGCCATCACCTTGGCTCTTTCAGGAGTCCCTCTTTGGAAACTGCCTTTCCCCCATTACCGCAGACTTACTTAACGGCTCCTCAGCGCTTTCACGAGCCTTAGCATTCCTCCATCGCTACCCCACGTTGTACTGTCATTTATCTGTGCTACAGTTCTCTGGAGGGCAGGTGGCATGTCTGACTAATTTCAGTATCCTCACAGCCTGATAGAGGGCCAATCAGTCAAAGAAAAGAACTTCCGCCTCCCTGGAACCTTCCCCAGTTACGCCGGGCCTCATGATCCCTGGGTGCCCACTTGGGTGCTTGTTCTGGATACCTCCCTTCTGAAGCGCCCATTTCCAACACCTGATGCAAGGGCAGCAGGCCTTTACCAGCCTGTGGTTTCGGGCACATCCTTTAAACTCCCAGAACCTGAGGCTGCTGTAAGATGAGGGTCAGAAACAGACTTGACTTGTAGGTTTTTAAACCACACAATACACAGATTAAGATGGCCTTCCCATCCTAACAGGGGGCTCTTCCGTCCCAGGGACTCTTCCCTTCCTTCTCCCTGCCTCAGGCTGACTACTTTCCCAGGGGCAGCAGGGTCTTCTCACCCCTGCACCCAACCCCTCAGGAGCATCAAGGACACCAGCTCCTTCATTTGCTGATCTTTCTCTAATTCTTGAAGCCCTGGATAATGTCTTGCATGTGGACATATTTTTATAATTACAGCTACCCCAGTAAAGTGTTTCAGAGACTAACATCTTGGGAAAAGGTGCATAAAGTTCTGTGTCTGTGTTGTCCATGTTTTCCACAATGAACGTGTACTTCTTTTATAAAATCAGTAAGATCATCACATGATATATGGAAAATCCTAATAATAACCTCTCGTGACATATATTTTCTCACTCACTTCATGGCTGCTCTAGTGAGGAAGCAATTATTACTCCCATATTGCAGATGGAAAAACTGAGGCTTGTTGAGGTTAAGTGGCAAGCAAGAATTCAACCCTGGGATGGAGTATAGAGTTGAAGCTTGTTTGTGGTGCTACCACACACCGCCTCTGACCTTGCATCCGGAGGTAAGTCCCTTGAGAGCAGGGACTTTATAGTCTTAGGAGTGTGTCTTGCTCCTCTCTCTATCCCTAGTGCACCCACACAAGTGAGCACACAGCACCACTGCGTATTTGTTGGTTAACATGATGAACGCGTATA